TTTGTCAATCGATTTCCAGATGTGGTTTTACCCATGATTGATTGCGCAGTGCAGCATTGCAGAAGGAAGTATGCTCTGAATGTCAGCAAAGCTTTGCAATTCAAGGATCTACAGTGGCTCAGATCCATGAGACTAATTTCATTTTCTTTGTATTAAACCAGTTGGTGATTAGCACCTTCGAAAAATAGTGTATTTTTTCATTGGTCCAGGGTTATAGACTAAATGCTGCCTGTAACACACGAAGGAGAAGCATCTCCCAAATATTCAATGTTATACGTAGTTCTAATTCCTAAAGATTAGCAATATATAATACGTTAATAGCATATTTACTAATCCGTAATCAAAATTGGAGTAATTGACTTGAGAAAGAGTAGGATTGAGGGGGAGGCCAAATATGATTTCTGTTTGAAATTGTTTATTAATCTGTAGGGAACCGGAATGGAAAATTTTTTTGGTTACTTCAAGTTAGACAGAAATGACCTATAAAATCATCACTAATGAAGGTTGAAGGTGCACAACTCTTGAGATGAGTAACTAGCTAGTTTCAAGATTCTAGAGTCGGACTAGTGGCCACTACTAATCGCACTGATAACAACTCATCAAGTATTCAGTTATTAAAAATGAAACGATTCAATATAAGGTGTAATTTATTCTACCAAACTTCCGATGTAGAAAATGCCTTCTTTCAAACATCTAGCATATGAGTTAATTTTCTGGCACCAGTATCCTCGCCGGATCGATTCCCTAGGGATCCTAGAGATCCCGCAATCCTATTCGTTCATCGTATATCGTGCAGTCGGTTTTCGTTAGGTTCTATTTACATTTGAATTTTAAAATTTAAATTTTAAATCATTTATGACCGCACGATATACGATGAACGGACAAAATTGTGGGATCCCTAGGGAATGGATCCAGCGAGGATCCTGGTCCAATTTTCTGGTCATATTAGGTACCTAGCTAGCAAGGGGCCTACATATAATCGTGAGGGAGCAAACAACCAACTACTCCAAATTGTAACCACCAGCACCTAAAATTACGATTTTATAACTTGTAATATTATCTTATGATTTTATTACCGTCTATTTTGTAAGTCTCAATATAAAGATCATCTTTGCAGAATTTCAATTTTATCCAAAACTGTTTGTTTATTTAATTATCACGATGAAATTTCAATGTTTCTTTGATAACAAAATGTTCGTAAATTTCTTTGAGCTCAATTAAACGCCTCAAATATTTTCGATTTGACTAATATTTAAAGATAATATATGAGGTGCAACTTAAAAAATAAACGGTTTGAATTGTTAAAGTTCGATACGGTATGGGCTCAACAACTAATCGGATCCCTTCCCAAAAAGGCTTCTTTTGAAACAATACCATGATAACCTAGTCATCTATACTATTGAAAGAATTATTAGACTCAATAGGGAGAATTAAAAAAAAAAAATTATGCACTCAAATAAGAGGTAGAATAGAACATAAATGAATAAAAATGATACACAATAATAGAAATTTACAAATTTTATTGTTACTTACTAAATGGATTTGTCAAAATTAGGTTCACATCCTTCTTTTTGCTACTACATTGATTAAAATCCTATTCATTTTCAATTTTTTATTAAGGTTCTTGGATATTCATAACATCATTAATTATTTGAATAATAAAATATTCCTTTAGTGTTAAAAATGTTACAATTAGTATATTTATATTTATGGCTAATTTTTTAATCATATATTTTTATTTTTAGTTTGTACCTATTTTTAATTTGTACCAATTTTTTTTATTATTTTTAATTTGTACCCATATATTAGTTTCTTTTTGTGCCCATATTTTTAAAAGTTTTATATGTGTTTGTACCCATATGTATACCGTTATGTGATATTGAATATTTAATCAATGATAGAAAAATTACATATGGTATATTTATGTTTTATGCCTAAACTTTGTATCATATATTTATATTTTTAGTTTGTACCCACTTTAATTTTGCAACATTTTTTTTTAATTTGTAGTATTTTCTTTTTAGTTTTATTTTGTACCCAAGTATTAATTTCTTTTAGCGCCTATATTTTAAAAAAATTCATTTGTACTCATAATTTTTTAATCTTTTATCTGTACCCTAATTTATTTATAATGTACCCATTCTTCTTTATTAATGTACCACTTTGTTATATGTGAAATGTACCAATTTTTTTAACACTATGGATACATTCTTTTGCCATTTATTATTTCTTATTTTTACATAGTTTTTATCCATTTATTCAATCAAAATGTTTGAATTTTTTTATTGTAACCATTTCTAGTAGTATTATAATGAGGGATTTTAAATTTATAGGATTATAAATCTCATAAAATATCAAACAAGTAATGTCAAAACTATAAATATTAATTGTAATATAATGAGGTGTACAAAGTCAAATTACTTTGATCACTGTAACCATTCTGTTTGTTGCAAAGCTGGTACCGGAGACAAAGGGGCGAACGCTGGAAGAAATACAAACATCATTGAATCGATTTTCAGAAAAATAGATAAACGGTGCGCCTGCATTATGACATTGTCTATCCATTTCCAGATGTGGTTTTAACCATGATTGATTGCGCATTGCAGCATTGCAGAAGGAAGCATGTTCTGAATGTCAGCAAAGCTTTGCAATTCAAGGTTCTACTGTTAACTATGATCAATCTTACACAATAAGGAAGAATAAGAATGTAACAGACTTAGAGAGAGAGAGAGAGAGAGAGAAAGAGGAACTTAGAGAGAAGATGAATATTTCTGAACTGTTTTCTTAACCTCTAAGTAATACAGTGTTGAGGTATTTATAGTTTTACACTTACACAGCTAACTTCCTTAACTAACTTCTTCTCTAATCTAATTACAAGTGTCAACATCTTAAACACCAATATCTTTATCCTATCATCCCCCCGCAAACACATGATTCGATGCTCGAATCATGAGATTGGTACAATGAGTACGAAACAGAGGAGAACTCAACCCTTTAGTCAAAATATCAGCAAACTGCTCTTTAGATGACACAAACTGAACAGAAAGTTGTTTCTTGGCAACACGTTCTCGCACAAAATGAACATCAACCTCGATATGCTTAGTGCGTTGATGTTGAACCGGATTAAAAGCCAAAGCAATGGCGGACAAATTATCACAAAACAAAACCGGAGGTGAGGACAGAGGAACCTGCAGAAAGACCAACAGTTGCTGAATCCAGTCTAATTCAGCGGAAGTAAAGGACAAGGCTCGATATTCCGCCTCTGTGGATGAGCGAGAAACTGTTAATTGTTTCTTTGAGGACCAAGAGATAGGATTGTTGCCTAAAAACACAGCCATGCCAGTGGTAGAACGCCTATCATTCGGGTCACCTGCCCAATCAGCATCACTGAATGCTTTCAATTGCAGTGGGCCGTGGGAATAACAGAGACCATGATGAATGGTACCCTTGAGATACCGCAAAATGCGTTTGACAGCAGTGAAATGAGCAATCATAGGCTGTTGCATGAATTGACATACTTGATGGACAGAAAATGCTATATCCGGCCTTGTAAATGTAAGGTACTGCAGTGCACCTACTACACTCCTGTACAACGTTGGATTGTTATAAGGAGCACCATCATCTTTGAGAAGCCGGTTATAGGGCAAACAAGGAGTTTCACATGACTTGGACTCAAGCATCACTCACCTAATCCTGCATCAGGGCAGTCTCAATTCTTTTCTGGAGGATATAAGCAGTTTAATGGGAATAAGAATGTAACAGACTTAGAGAGAGAGAGAGAGAGAGAGAGAAAGAGGAACTTAGAGAGAAGATGAATATTTCTGAACTGTTTTCTTAACCTCTAAGTAATACAGTGTTGAGGTATTTATAGTTTTACACTTACACAGCTAACTTCCTTAACTAACTTCTTCTCTAATCTAATTACAAGTGTCAACATCTTAAACACCAATATCTCTATCCTATCATCTACTGTAGCTCCGATCCATGAGACTCATTTCATTTCTTTGTATTAAACCGGTTGGTGATTAGCACCTTCGAAAAATAGTGTATTTTTTCATTGGTCCAGGGTTATAGACTAAATTCTGCCTGTAACACACGAAGGAGAAGCATCTCCCAAATATTCAATGTTGCACGTAGTTCTAATTCCTAAAGATTAGCAATATATAATACGTTAATAGCATACTTACTATTCTGTAATCAAGATTGGAGTAATTGACTTGAGAAAGAGTAGGATTGAGGAGGAGCCCAAATATGATTTCTGTTTGAAGTTGTTCATTAATCTGTATGGAACCGGAATGGAAATTTTTTTTGGTTACTTCAAGTTAGACAGAAATGACCTATAAATCATCACTAATGAAGATTGAAGGTGCGCAACTCTTAAAAGATGAGTAACTAGCTAGTTTCAAGATTTTAGAGTCGAACTAGCAGCCACTGATAACAACTCGTCAAGTATTCAGTTATTAGAAGTGAAACAATTCAATATAAGATGTGATTTATTCTACCAAACTTCCGATGTAGAAAATGCCTTCTTTCAAACATCTAGCATATGAGTTAATTTTCTGGGATTTGGATCCTCTCCTGAGCTAATGGAGAGGATCCTCCTGACCAATTATCGTGGGACGTTGAATTTTTATCTAACGGTTATAATTATTATAATTTTAAAGAGACCTCCTGTTTGTAGCCGTTGGATAAAAATTCAACAGTCCACGATGATTGGTTAGGAAGATTCTCCCCATTAGCTCAAGAGAGGATCCAAATCCAATTTTCTGGTCATATTAGGTACCTAGCTAGCAAGGGGCCTACAAATAATCGTGAGGGAGCAAACAACCAACTACTCCCAATTGTAACCACCAGCTCCTAATTACGGTTTTATAACTTGTAATATTATCTTATGATTTTATTACTTAATATTTTTATTTAATATTATTTTATGTCAGACTTTTTTGGTCCATGGGGCCCACATCCCACTTCCTTCTTTTTCCCGTTTGTTTTCACTTAAACTCTCCCGCTCTCTCTTCTCTCATTTCTCTTCTCTCTCGAACCTTCCCTCTCCGGGACGTCAACACACAAACAACAACGACAACACTCCCACCACCGCCAAACCAAGAGCATCATGAGCTTCGTATCGTCCTCACGAGCTCAGAACACCCAACCTCACCTTGAATTTCCTTCCGGATCGTAGGGATCAAAATCCAAGTCGGGCTGCGACCTTTCAGCCATTTTCCGGCCACACCACGGCGATTTAGTTGTCGATAAAGGTACCATTTTCTTCGTCTCATCTAGAAATATGATTTTCGTTTTTTAATCACCATATTTCGTTGAGTATTGAAGAAGTTATATTCATTTGAATCTAACCCGGTTTTCCGGCGAACCCGCGACCTTTCAGGCCATTTTCCGGCCAAACAACTACGAATTAGGAGTTTTGAAAGGTGTCAATATGTTCGTCTCGTTCGAGGTATGATTTTCGTTTTTTATTCACTCAATTTCATTGAGTTTTGACGAAGTTATGGAGGTTTGAAAACTTCCCGGATTCCAGCCTTCTTATTAGCAAAAACCGGCGACCTCAGTGAATTTCAGGCCAGATTCAGGACATCTCCGGTAGTTATTGGACTTAAAAATAGGTATAATCTTATTTTACACTTTCCTAGCTTCGTTTTGATACATTATAGGTTGAATTTGGTTAAGAAACGAAGAGGTTACAAAGCTTTAAGAGTGAACCACTTTTATACGTATGACTGCGCGACTACCAAAGCTAGATCGCTCCAAGTCTTAGTTGAGAGATATAATCTTCGTCTTCCAAGAAGTTAAGATTTATTTATGGATCATAGAAAAACCATGGAAGAAGGACTGCTAACAGTTTCAGAGAACTTGGTACATGAAGAAGGAGCTGGCAATGATTACAGCGATGCAACGCCGAATGTTGGGTCCTTACCGGTCACCGCTGTTGTTGTTCTCAGCACTCTGGTGGCCCTCTGTGGTTCCCTTTCTTTTGGGTGTGCTGTAAGTGACTTACCACCTTATTCAACAAATTATTTATCCTGTTCTTTTCACTTTGCTGCATCAAATTGTTTATGGTCTTGAAGAATCATTAAATGTTCCTTAAATACAATTAGGAATTAGAATCGTTTTGTTGCAGTTAGAATATTCATCCGCTGCTGAATCTGGAATTATAGAAGAGTTGGACATTACTCTCGCAGAAGTAAGTTCTCTAAGACTTCTCTCAAGGTTCCATATTAAATTCCTATCTAGCAAGGAATCAATCCTACAATCAAGGTACAAAATAAGAAGCCAAACATATACAAATCAGTTGCATATTTGTTTCTTAATCTAAGCCATGATATCCGGGATATCATTGACTTCTCAACACTCTCCTCAAGTTGGAGAGTGGATGTCTAGAACTCCCTTGCGTATAAAGGTTGATCGAGAAAGTTTCCTTCCTCAAAGCCTTTGTGAACACATCTTCTAGTTGGTAATAAGAAGAAACATGTTTTGTGACGACCAAACCATCTTGAATTTCGTCTCGATTGAAATGACAATATGCCTCCCTTCATGCTTTGTTCGTTCCTGGTATACTGGATTAATTTGCAGCAATATGAAGAGATCATAACGTATAGTGCCTGCTTTGAATGCCATAATTGCAAATCCCTCAACATATATCGAAGTCGTGACAACTCACCAGAAGCTTCGGTCATGGTTCTTTATTCGTCTTGCGCTGGAGATAAAGAAATTGTCTTTGGTCTTTTTTATCTCCAAGAAATCAAAGACCCTACGAAAAAAAAACATCTTGTAGTAGATTGTTCTAGAACAATTCACAAAGTAAAATCATGAGTAATAATGTAATTTCATACAAACTAAATTTTTTTTCCCTTCAAATCTCACACAAATGTCGTCCATAGCATCTTTAATTAAAAAAAAAACTAATGAAAAAGGCTTGAAACTTTGAGTTTTAATAATAAGAACAAAATAAATGATAAAGTGAATAGTATCATGATTGACTTTTTAGTGTAAAAATATGGTTTTTCGTTAAAATGAACAGTATCAGAAGTTTTTCGTTAAAGTTTCCAATCAAAAACCCACATTCTCTCTCTCTCTCTCTCTCTCTCTCTCTCTCTCTCCTTTCTCTCCATCTTCTCTCTTTTTCATATTATAGTTTTTTTCTTTATAAAATTTGAGGCTTTTAGATCTAGGTCCAAAAATATAAATGGTTTTAGGAGTGAGTCAAGTTATCTAATTACATGTTTTTTATTATTTTTTATGCTCTTTTTATATTTTCTAAAAATATTAAAAATCAATTAAAATCTTCTAATATCTTATAACAAAAAAACTAATATACTAACATAAATCTATCTGCAAACATTCTACCCTAACTCAAGTAACAAAAATATGAATGTATATTATACCTATAAATAATATATGCAACCTAACTAAAAGGTAGAAAAAAAACATAATATACCTACAAGTAACACATATTAATCTCTGACTGGTTGATTATAAAAAAAAAAAATTGTCATATAAGTAGATAAATATAAGGAAAAATTAGTATCTGGTCCCTAGTTTTTACTGTTCATTGACTAAGACCTTATTAGTTCTCAAATTTTGATTCAAGTCCCTAGCATTAATGTGATAATGAATTTACTTGTTTATTATATAATTTTTTAATATAAAAATTAGTAATTAATTTAGGGTTTAATACTCACACCTCTATTAAACTTCTAATTAATTTTCAATTCAAACATTTCCAAAATAATAAAAAATTAAATTAAATTAAGTTTGTACCTATTAGTTTTTTTTATATATATAAAAAGATTCTCAATTTTTTAATCTTAAATGTACCCATTCATATAATTTTTCAATTTTTTTAATCTTAAATGTACCCATTCTCAAATATATCAATTTGTTATATGTAAAATGTACCCTTTTTTTAATATAAAATCCATTCAAATTTTTTAATCCATGTTTAAACTTATATGGGTACATTCTTTTTCGTTGATTTGAGAATGTATCCATGTTTTGGTACAATAACTTTTTTTGTTAATTTTGGTTAATGTACCCATACATGTATGTATATATATATACACACACACACACACAATATAATAGAGAGTATAATTTATATTTTATTATTTTTAATCCCATAAATTATGGGTTTTATTTAAAATCTCATTAATATAAACAATTACAATTTCAATTTTTAATTTTTAATTAAAAAAATATAGTAACTTACATTATTACATTAATGTCAGGGACCTCAATCAAAAACTAAAAACTAACAAGGTTTCAATCAAAGAATATTGATAGCTAGGGACCACATCCAAAGTGTCCCTAAATATAATTAACCTGTGATATATGTTGATTATTAAAAATTAATAAATGAGGCTTAAAGCAATAGGAAGAGCAAGAAATAATAAACAATAAATAAAAAGAAATAATCAAAGAGATAAGTAGGAAGAAATCTGATTTTTATAATAAATCTAATCATTGAAGAGGTTATTATTAATAATAAAATATCTAAATTTAAGGAATTTGACTTATTTTAATAAACTGGACTATTCCTACTATTGGCTAAAAAAATTGGATTTGTATTAAGTTTATTTACACATGCGTAGTGTGTGTGCTTCATCTAACATATATAAAGTTAGAGTTTGCGGACACATGATTTTAACACACATTTTACGTTTTTGTGGGGCCCACTCTAAAATGTATTCAATTATCCAACCATCTATCTTTTATGTCTTACCTCAATAATCATGTCTACTAAAAACTACACCAATCTAAAACATATGACTGTTGGATTAAATTTAGTGTTTCTTTGTAGAGTTGTATTAATCCATTTTCTTCACTACAAATGATTGTCGTAATAGCATTATTCTAAAAATCTCCGCCTAGGCGCTAGGCGGTTGGCCACCGTCCCGATTAATGCTTAGTCCGCCCAGACTCTCCTAGACACCCGCCTAGGTTGTGACTCACTTAAACAGAAAATAGATAACTTTAATTTTGCATTTAATTTTTTCAATAAATTGTAAGAGATTTGTTGAATACTTAAAGGAACACACATTATATACTTGTTCTCCATGTTTTCATTATGTTCCAATAGCTTATAATATATATGTCATTCTATTTTGTAGTTTATAATGATATCATATATATTTTAAGTATAAACAGACACTTATCTACACAAAATATAATAGATTTAATAAATCCGCCTTGTCCGTCTAGGCGCCCGCCTAGACCCCACCTAACCGCCTAGGCGTTAGGCCTCAACCCGCCGCCCGACTAGCGCCTAACGTCTTTTAGAACCTTGCCTAATAGTTTTGGATTTGTCTAATTTTTTGCAAATTACGATCTAGGAATGATGTATTTAAATATAGACACATTACAAAATAGGTGTCCAAAGAGAGAATTAATGAAAAATAATAAAGGAGATATGGAGATGGAATATTAAATCTAAATCAAAGGTTTTTAGAATTTTGTTTTTAACGCACAATTATATCAAAAATAAAATACATTGAACTAATAAGGTTACATCTCAAGCATTAAAAGTGTATCGATCTAATGGTGATACCGATCCGTCCCATATACGACCATATTTTGCTCTAAGAAAAATGAGGATTTATACTAAAGGAAGGGGGTTTGGTTAGACCACACAATGGATAATGTTATATCCCACATCACCCAGGGGAGTGAATCCTGTAAGCCTTATATGTATATTCTCATCTCTACCTAACACGAGGCCTATTAGGAGCTCACTGGCTTCGGGTTCCATCGGAACTCCGAGGTTAAGCGAGTTTGCTCGAGAGCAATCCCATGATGGGTGACCCACTGGGAAGTTTTCATGTGAATTCCCAAAAACAAAACCGTGATGGTGTGGTTGGAGCCCAAAACGGACAATATCGTGCTATGGTAGAGTCGAGCCCGAGATGTGGTGGGGGCCCGGGCCGGGGTGTGACAATTTGGTATCAGAGCCAATCCTTGGCCGGATGTGTGCTGACGAGGACGTCAAGCCCCTATGGGGGATGGATTGTTACATCCCACATCGCACAAGGGAGTGAATCTTGTAAACCTTATATGTATATTTCCATCTCTACCTAACACGAGGCCTTTTAGGAGCTCACTGGTTTCGAGTTCCATCGGAACTCCGAAGTTAAGCGAGTTTGCGCGAGAGCAATCCCATGATGGGTGATCCACTGGGAAGTTTGAGTTCCCAGAAACAAAACCGTGAGGGCGTGATCGGAGCCCAAATTCCCAGAAACAAAACCGTGAGGTCGTGATCGGAGCCCAAAGCGGACAATATCATGCTACGGTGGAGTCAAGCTCGAGATGTGGTGGGGATCAGGCCGGGATGTGACAGATAGCTACAAAATAGATATTGAACTCAACACATACTTTATTGCCATTCATGTGAGTTTGAATCTGAAATTAAAAAAATATCACTAGTACTAATTGGCTAGTTGTTAGTTGAAATTGAACTAAAAGGGTAAAACTACTTTGCCTTGAAAATGGAGAGACATATTATTGGACTTCAAAAATAACGTAACCCAAGCGCCGATGCCACAACTCAATAGATCGTAGGACAGCGTACGTTGTGCGAGGGTTTGCAGAAATTGCTGATAATACTGTGCACCGAATGGTGGATGAAATATAGATGGATTGGAAGCATCTGTTTTCGTTTCCGTCTGAAGATCCTTGTTCGTTAACCATGGGGAAGGTCTACGGAAAGGAAAGGGAAACACACTGCCTAAATTTGCAGTGGCGGTAAAAGGAAGCTGCAGAGCTACCATGTAAAATAAGGCAGAAAAAAATATTAAACAGCAAAAGTGAATTCTCTGATTAATCAACCAGAGCTTTTGTACAACAGGTTTTCCTATCTAGCAAGGAATCTATCCTACAACCAAGTACAAAATAGGGAGCTAAGTATACACAAATCCATTACATATTTGTTTCTTATCTTAAGCCAATGTGAATGCAATTGGATATTTGCCTCCCTTTGTGTATATATCAAGTAGGTTATAGTCTCTTTTTCAGTTCTATGTATTTAAATTTTCTTCTTATTCTGCAGTACTCGGTTTTTGGTGCAATGCTGGGAATCGGAGGAGTGGTTGGCGGATTGGTAAATGGGAGGATAACGGATATCATTGGTCGTATACGTGTAAGTTTTCGCATTACCAATTGTGTATCGGCCTAGGGCGGATGTTTAAATTATATTATTTAACACTTTTTCGTTTTTTTTATGTTGATATCTCGAAACAGACAATGTGGTTATCTGAAATTATCAGTATTGCAGGGTGGCTCAGTATAGCATTTGCCAAGGTTTCTTCTCTGAAATTTCAGTATGCATATATATATATGATCAATGCAATTAAGAAGTCTAAAGTATAGTGCATTGGAAATAAGTGTGGTAACATTTTATAGCAAATTTTTCTGGAAATTTCAACATGCAATTTTGAGCTCAGTTCAATGCTTGATTGTAGAATGCTTGGTTGCTGGATTTTGGACGACTGTTATTGGGAATTAGCAGTGTGTTAATTCTCTACGTGGTAATTGCAAACAAACTCTGCTTCTTTCTTCTTCAAAATTCATATTAGTTTGTAACTTATCCATAGAACACTTGTATAATGATTAAATTCTTTCTCATAAACAGGGACCTATATACATAGCAGAAATAACACCAAAGGATTTTAGGGGGAGGTTTACTTCAACTAATCAGGTATGACATATTTAGTTCATCGTGCATATGAGATCCATTGCCAACCTATAATTTATTGTGCTTCCTAGTTATTACTTCCCCCTTCTCTAACCGGTAGTCTAAATCTATTAAGTGCACAGTTGATGAGTAGCTGTGGCTTTGCACTTATGTATTTCGTTGGAAATGCCCTAAACTGGCGTACCATTGCTCTAATCGGTAAATTATCTTTTATTCTTGCCCTATATTAATTTGATTCTTGCATCATCTTTAATTTGAATCAATCACTTAATACAAATTGATTTTATTACTCTAGGTGCTATTCCATCTCTACTGCATATTATAGGTTTATTTTTCATTCCAGAGTCTCCAAGGTGGCTGGTGAGTGCAATTCAATAATTTCTATACAATGTTAAATGAAGATGAAGACTCTTTAAATTGCTTGACCTTATTCTTCCAACAGTACACACAAGTATATAAATCTTTTACTCCTAAATAAAATTCAGCAGTGAGAAAATTTCCTTTAGAATGCTCAAATCATTGATGGTACACTTGTTTGCAGGCAAAAATTGGTAAACAAAAAGAGTTTGAAACTGTGCTGCAGCGTCTTAGAGGAAAAAATGCTAATATATCTCAAGAAGCAGCTGAAATCATGGTAACCTTCCAAGTTCCGGCTTCAAGCCATCGTGAAATATTATCTGTGTGGTATCCTCAACTGGAGGATTTGGGGTTAAAGAATCTTCTCTTAGCACATAAAAACAATGACATTCTCATGTCTTGCCAGGATTATACTGAAATCTTTCAGCGGCACTCAGAAAGAATGCTAGACTTGTTCCAGTGGAGATACGCTGACTTAATCATTGTAAGCTGTCTTGCAAGAAGTACGACTGAAAAAATCATTTGCTGTTTAACCTTTGTTTTTCATGATGTGTCAGACCTTTCTGCGTTTATTTGAATTTGTTTAGGTTGGAGTGGGGCTGATGTTTCTGCAGCAACTTGGGGGGGCCAGTGCGGTCTCTTCTTATGGAAGTTCTATCTTTGTAGATGCTGGTAAATCGAAAGATTTTTATTATGGAAGTTCTATATTTGAATAAATGCCATATAATGGGACTGTATCATTTTTTCTGGCAGATTTCTCAAGTACCATTGGGACTGTATCGTTGGCTATTATTGGGGTAAAATGAATTTGAAAACTACTACTCTACATGTGAATTAATAGAGTTCCATTTGATGTTTCTTACTTGTTTCACAGATACCTGGAACAATATTGAGTGTTCTCTTAGCAGATAAATGTGGAAGACGACCACTTCTGTTGGTAAGACATTGAGAAAGGAAAAAGAATAGTATTTTTTTATAATGAATACTGAAAATATAACTTTAACCCCTAAAATTTAATTTTCTCTACATAAACCCGAGATAAGTTTTTGTCTTGAATAAAACCATTGACTAGATTCCACATCAGCAAATTCATTAATTATGTTTGACTTCACATATTAAAAAAAAATTCGGATGCCTAAAATACCCCTATTTGAATATTTTTATTTTTTTATAAACCCTATTTGAATGTTTGATGTACATAATTAATGCCATGCGGATGGATGGTAAGGGAGAATTAATGATTTTATACAAAAAATATAAATTCATTGCCTAATATATAATAGCATAAAACATGTGTAATATATTTATTATACATGCTTAATTAAGTCAATAAAATTATATTTTACATATTAATGTAGGTAAATTATTTCTCTCTCTCTCTCTCTCTCTCTCTCTCTCTCTCTCTCTCGCACACACACACTCACATATATATATATATATATAAATGTCTGATATATGTAAAATTCATGCAAAATAATTTACCTACAAAAAAAAAACATTTGATTCAAACAGTGCACCTACTATTAAAATTTTTAAATGTTAGATTGCTTAAAAAAAGAAAAATAATATACCCAGTATATGTAAAATACATGAAAAATAATTTACCTACGTATTACAAACCCATATATGCAAAATAAAGTACCTATTATTTATTTTTTACGAAAATTGTGAAACTATTATGTAATTTATAAAAAAAAAATTACATATTGTTTATTTTTTTTATGCAAATAATGTAACTATTGTTTAGTTTTTACAAGAAACAATGTATCTACTAGTTTATGTACCTTTTTTTTTTATTTTCACAAGTTAATGTATCTACTTTTTCAATAGAATGTATATTGAACTAATTAGATTTGGATTAGGCGATTTCACAGCAAAGAAGAAAAGAACTTCCATTTTTTTTTAAATTAAAAGCAAAAAAAAATTAAACTAATTGAATGTTGTTGACAAACAAAAGACAATAAATTAAAAGTCTACAAAAAAAATCATAATAGCCATATTAATGTTGGTGGCATGGTGTTGTAAATAAAATTAAATGTATGGACATCTTTTATCTCACATGGCATCAAAATTCAAAATTTGGGTTTATTTAGATGTTTTAATATAGGTGGGTTTATATCTAGAGTTCATCAGTTGTAAGGGACTAAATCTAAAGCACCCTAATGAATACCAGTAACTCACCGTGAAGCCACCACACGTGTGTAGGTTTCTTCTGCAGGGATGTGCTTGGGTGCCTTTCTTGTGGGCTTGACTTTTTTATTTCAGGTTCCTACCAAAACAAATTTCGATACTTCTCACTAGATTGTGTAGTTGCTTCATACGCATGCAAATTGTCATATACTTTGAAGTAAATCTTTTCGATATGGCAGAATCTTGGCCGGTGGAAGGAGGTCACTCCCATTTTTATGTTTATTGGCATGTTGGTAAGTACAAATAATCCATAGGCAAGTATTCCTTTTCTTTTCCTGGGCTGCTGGTCACATTTTCGTGTCCTTTCATTGTTCTTTAATGAACAAAAATCATGCTTGGATCTAAAATGCTTTCAATAACAATAGTTTGTGAATTAATTCTGTATATCATTTGAGATATTTAATATTGGTACGTAATGCATTCAGGGTTATTATGCATCATACACAGTAGGCATGGCAGGACTTCCGACAGTTATTATGGCAGAGGTAGCTAGCATTGTGCTTGACCTTCATGTGCTTTCACTAATTTATTACTGCAAATTCGGCGGAGCAATAAACTTCTGTTACAAAGAACGGATGATTTCAATTTCAGATATTCCCAATAAACGTCAAGGGCACTGCCGGAAGCCTGTTGACTCTGGTGACTGCGGGCGCTGGTTCGATTGTTATATACACCTTCAACTTTATGATGGAATGGAGCTCAGCAGGTATCTTAGCGACCAACTCCCCTACTTTTCTTTGTATCTCTTTTTTTTCATTTCTTCCCCTGCGTACTCGTAATCGGTCATATGATTTCAGGAACGTTTTTCATCTTCGCGGCCATTTGCGGTTCAACTGTTGTGTTCGTTGCGAAGCTAGTGACGGAGACCAAGGGGCGAACGCTCGAAGAACTACAAGCATCAATTGCGCATTTTGTCTAATAAGATGAACTATGAAGCCATGCTAGTGTTGGAAATTATATATTATAGTATAAAATATTGTAATATATAATTTTAATAATTGAATGAAAAATAGTGTTAATCATATTTCTTTGAAAGTTTATGTTATTTAGGTGCATTCCCTTGTCAAATGATGTATACTTATAGATGAAAAGTTACATCTCTTTAACAAGAAGTACTTGGATTCTATATAAACTCATGAAACCATGGCATTAAAAAAATAGAAAATTAGAATTAATTTTTATTCTTGAGAAATAGGGTTTTCCCACTCTATTTCTCTCACTCTTCGTTTTGTCAAATTCCAAGTCGTGTCTTGGGAGTACGGAATATACAAGCACAATAGTAGGGGCAAAATTCTGTCTTTAGGACACTACATTTATGCAAGCCTCAATCTCTCACTAGTTGTTTTTATTAATCTCATACATAATTGGTGTTGTGATTTTCTTTATGATTACTTTCATTGAAATTCTTTTATTATTTTCATATTTTATAATATTGCTCCAACATTCTAAAGACAGAATTACTTATGCGATAATTGGTAAGTATGAATGTGAAGAAGATGTTAAAAACATTGAAAGTAACCCTAAACCAAGAAACTATGGTTTTTTACAGAAAAAGGTATGTCCTGGTGAGCTTGATTTTTATTTGCTTATTGATATATAACATAGTAGTATCTTTGACGTTGGCATTCAAATTGTATTGTTAAATGTATGATACAATTCAAATATATTCATCTATATATATATATATATACACACATGAGCAGTGTTTGCTTGTTGATTCAATATGTGACTATAAACGTGTTGAGCAACATAGAGTGTTGTATTCGATGTGTAGCCTAGCCCCTTTATGCTAATAAGATTTGCATAAATTGATGCAATTAAGACTTCAATCTCTATGATTTTAGTCGTGATGACTGGAGTTAGATGGTGGTTTGGAATTATCCATGGGGAGCAGTATCCATGCAACCGCTTGTTACTTTGAAAAGATAACAATTCAAAATTAAAACTTTCTGGGCAAATGCAACACTTTGACGAAAAGGCGTTGGCAGTTTATGGGTGGTTTTGTATGGGTGATTTGGATCACTGGTATGTATATGCATGCTTACGTCTATATGTGTCTGCAAGTTATCTTGAAAGCATGAATTGCATGGCTCATATGATATGTCTTATGGATAAATTTCTTAATTTCAAAGATCAACAATAAATATTTATATCGTACATGCACTACTGGAGGTTACTTATCACAAGTCATAGGTGTAGAAATGAAATATAATGGTTGCCTGGAAATTCATTCCCATTCGTTATATATATATTGAGAGCTCCAGTTTGGTGAGGAATTCGATAAAACCAAAATACCCTTATTTCAAAAAATAAAAAACTACAAGACTATCCCAATATAATACGGTTAAATGGTAATACACAAATATAATAAGGTTAAAATTGTCATATAAAAAATAAAATATTGAGAGATGTTTAGATGCGGACAATATATCTGCACATATAATAAATGAGAATTTACAACCATCAAACGCAAGGCACCAACACTTTCAAATTAATTGAGACCCTTGGATTACCTATCACATAAATAATGAACTACATCCTTCTCCCAAAGCGCATTTCTCCATTGGAATTTCAAAAGGAAAAGCACAATATAATTTCCTCCACGTTTTCGGCATTAACAGCACATACTTTGTAGTTACATGGAGAAGCGATAATACCGTTCAGTTTTAACTGCTATTTTCGATTTCCAATCTCTCACGTACTCACATGGATTTCATTCCAATTAGTATCAGAGTTCCAGTTTCAAGCCCTTTGGAAGCGAGACCGTGCTATGCTGTTTGGATTAATTTGGGGATTTTCTTAACACAAACGGCTTTTGCCAACCAGTCATATCCATCTTGGGTAAAATCTCATATCTCAAATTCTATTTTATAGTGAAAGCTTGCTTTTTTATTTTTAGTTTTTTGCATTTTCTCTTCTTCTTTTTGTTATAGGCTCCAGAGGATTCTATGCGTGTTAATTGCAACCATTGGACAAGAAGCAGAGTTCAAAGCTTTGACTGATCGTGGGTAAATCTCAACCTTACCTATTCAGTTTTTAGGATTTTTTTTTATTATTTGCTTTTTTTTTTTTTTTACTATTTGTATGTAGTATCTCTAAGTAAATTTTAGTTTGTATTTACTGACACGAATCAAAGAACAAAGACTATCATAATCAAGGGTTCATATTATTGTGTTAATTTACACTGCATATTATTTTGATAAAAATATCTGCATATTATATAGGGTTTTAACATCCAGATGGCAAAAAGTTTAATTTCTATCTAACCAAAAATCTGTTTACTCCCAGCCCTTCTCGATGGGATACGACGACTTCTTCTTTGACGCGGTTGTAGAATGAGGTCAAAGGTGACTAGGCTATGTAAATTATTGAGATTCCAAGACGGAGAGGGTTGGGATGAAGATCAAAGATGTATGTCGAGAACCTAGGCATTGTAAGTTTCTATATATACCAAGATGTAATTAGAATTTAAATAAATTGCCCTACGCAATTGGCAATTGTACTGAATAATGAAGGAATAAATATGTGTGTTCGATCCTATTTATCCATATATATAAGCAGTAGAAGTGTTTTAAAATTAAAATCTCAAATTTGGACCTACGATGACCTGTGGCATGTTTTTTCTAACAAGTGTGGGGGAAATGTACTTTTCCAGTCAAAACGTCACTAATGTAGTCTTCCAGAAAAGGTACTCAAGAAAGTTTTTCGAAAAGCAAATACTGAATTTTTAATTCTTTTTTCTTAAATTTAATTTGATGGCAATTTAAAGCGTTGTTTTGTTTGCTATCATTTAGACATAAAGTTCTACTTTATAGTGGCCTTTGTTATGTAAGAGATTGATAGGAACATCATGTTTAGCTTCATTCTGTTTATGTTCTTTTCTCTTTTCAAGTTAGGAGGCTTAAAATATCTCAGTTCAAACTTCAAAGACAAGTCATTTTGGCTTCTCCATTTATCCCATGAAAATACAAATTTGGAAGGATCAAGAAAAAGTTAAATTTTATTTGCCATAAAAAAGTGCACGCATTCAACATCCAAGCCAAGAAGGGGATTGAGTTCATATGATTAACAAACATGTTCATCCATAACATAGATTATTGACCTGTTGAATTGTACTTTTTGATGGTTTGGCATACAAATTTGGGAGACCAACGAAAGAATAGAGACAGGATAGTAGGTCATTTCATCTTATTTTTTTGTTAATTTTATACTCAAAACAACCTATGAACGGGTCCAAGTCTTTTCCATGATCATGGTGGAACTATGTACGTCCTGATAATAATAGTTTATTGTACTGAAATTTGGCTGTTTAGCTTGGTAGCTAATTGTGATCTCCATGCTAATTGTTTGTGTGGGTTGTTAGAAAACACTAGAGAGAGCGAGACAATTTTATTTGATATTGGATTGGTTAAAAGAGAAGACAATATGTTTTTCTCAATAAAAATGCAAGTTTCATTAAACTTGGAGTGACCAACCAAGTTTAGTGAGTTTGTATGTAACCTAAAACTACAGTGTCACTATTAATGTCTATACCAAATGGATAACAATGGTAAATAACTATTTGCAACACATCTTTAGAGGTGCGTAGCATCCGTGATTAAAAAAAGCCTCTCGCATGAAAGTGAGTGCGTGCGGAGAGGCTTGTGTGTGTGTGTGTGTGTGTGTGTGTATGGATTGATTTATTCATGAGTATGATACATCTCATTAACTGGGCATATTTTTCTGCGATTAAAGTTTTCGTATCTTCTTGAGTATTGGTAATGATTGCAACCCTTAATTAAGTCGTATACGTAAGAACAAGTTAACTACTTTGGCAATGCGCCTAATGTAGTTGGGCAGAATCAATAACTGCTTATGGGTTTATGAGTTTGGTTCTACAGAGTTGCACAAAAAATGAGTTGCATTTTAAATTGAGGAAGTAAATCCCTGTTAGCGGTTGTGAAGCCTTTTTCTTTCCGAAAGAGAAGGTTTTTCTTATGTCAGTATACATATGGCACAGAACTTGTGGTTGTATACTGAAGATGTGTGAGGGCTTTGAAGCCATAGTGATATGGAAACATGAATGTTTGAGTTTTTTGTTTCCCAATTAGCTACAAGATCATAATGTTTAGTTGTGGCTGGACATCTACGAATATAGGCTGTATGATCTGCAAACTCATTGATTGAATTAGCACATATATAGAATGATGAGCACTTCCTGATAAAGGAGTAACATGTGAAGGCAACTACAAAAATGAGTTTTGCTCATAAGCCATGTTAGTCATGGATAAAACCAATGCCAATTCCTTTGCAAAGAATTATACACTGAAAGTGTGGGGGTCTTCGTAAAAGGAATGATGAGGCACTGAAATTGATGCTTATTGAGTAAGCATACACAATTAGACATGATTATTCTTATTAAGCAAGGAATATGAATGGACATGTTATGAATTCAATGATGCTGGCTAATTGAATTTTGATAATTTAAAGTCAAAAGTACATATAGGTGGATATGCAAAGGCATAATCTATAATGGAATTGGATACAGTCTTAAGGCTAGAGAAATGTACTTTGTGATAATTTAGCCGAGTGCGGGCTAAACACGATGTCCAAATTGTAAACAGTAATTTGTTTATTAAAAGGGAAAGAATAAAAAGCAGTTATCTCTTATAATGAGTAACTTTAAGGTATGAAGAGTTAGAGGCCTTCTTACAATTACCTTAAATGTGGGGGAGTATGCCCAACTGTTAGCAAATTACTTACTAAAGTCCCAACATGTACAGTTAAGGACTTGACATTCTAAACAACTACTCTTGTATGAAATATAATTTCATATAATGGATTATGCACACCATTAAAGATAGTCAACCTAAATGGTACCAAATATTAAAGGTTTGACTAGAGAGTAAGTTGATCATCTAGGGGAATGAGGTTAAAGCCAACATAACTAATGAATCAGCCGAGCGGAAACCTAACTTAGTTGATTGGAGATCCTATGGTCTAAGTTCAATAGGCAAATTGGTTGGGCATGATTCAAAGAAGTTA